TAAATTGTAACCTTTGAGATAGATAAGATGTTGTCAGTTTGGAAAAATTGATAAGGTGTGTTTTATTGCAATGAAACTTGCCAATTAAGATTCAGCATAATTAAAATAGTGATAAATATCGATTACAATACTGGAGGCAATGCATTACAGCTTTTCTGTGTACTGAGAGCTAACATAATTTAGTAAAACTGGGCAAAGAAGTGACAAAGCAGCCAGTGCAGATGCTTATAGGAAATGTCATGTTTAGTCCAGATACTTTTATTTTTTTACTTAAAATGTTGATGAGTTTACCCCGTTCTATAATCATTACCTCTTGCTAAAGTGCCATGCTTCTTTTCATTCAGTTGGATTATGGGATCTGTGTCTTAAGTCTTTAATAGAGTATATGTTTAAGGAAAAACTATATTTGAAAATAGTTGTTTTCAAATAACTTGCTTAAGATCATTAAATAAATTTCAAATGTTCTTTCATAAAATCTAAGGTGATGCAGAGTAGTTGAGAGTATTTCTGATTATCTTAATTTTAATTTTTTGGTATTTCTTTAATTTTGAAATGCCAAAAAATGTGAAGACTGAATGTTGGGTGTATATTTTATACATTATATATATATATTTGCTTGGTTAACAGTTGTCTACACAATAACACTAGTTACATGAGGAAAAACAACCACTGCAATCTAAATTGGAACATTATTTGACATAGCAAAAGAAATATTGACTTTTCTTGCTGGAGACATTTATGAGACTTTTTTAATGACCCTAGGGCATATTATTATGCCCTTATGATTATATTTAAGTTTTAAGACTTCCTTTTTTTTTTTTTTTGGGGTATTCTTTTTAAGAATTTTTTTTATTTTACTTTTAAGACATTCTTTCTCTTGAACCTGATCACATGAGAGAAACTTTGATGACATAATATTTTTAAAGGAAAACATTAGTATTTAGGCTTTACTTGGTTACTTGATGGCCTGTTTTTATAACCACCAGAAATATAGATAATATCCTCCTGAAATATAGATAAAATTACAGCGAAGTGTCAGTAGATACTGAAGAGTTAGGAACTGAAAACAAATTAAGACTTTTCCTTTGAAATATCATCTTACGGACCTGTTCGTTCTACATTCCTTAGGCATTTTGCTTTGCTTTCTTCTGTATTATCCACAGCCCCCCTTCTTTTTTTTCTTTGTAGTGTACTTTTGGTATCTAGAACAGTAATACCATTGTATTTCATGAAGGCACAGTTTATTACAGAATATATCATCCATGAGGTACATTAAACTAACCGGCTTTGTTGTCTTGGCTTTTTTAAACTTTTTTCAACTGTGTTCCCTGGCCAATGTATCAGGATTAATCTATATAGATATATAATGTTTTGTAGATCTTTAGTTTAAATTGTAAGGTTTGTGATTTTACAGAGCTAGATACTGTTGGTTTATAATTACTGGGGTTAATTTATTCAACTTTCTTGTTCATATAGTCACGTTTCATTGTGCTACAGTTTTCCCAGTATTTTTTTTTTCTTTCACATGCTCTAACTCTCTTTAGATTGCTGCAGATTTCCAGTAATTTTGGTGGTTTTGTGCTACAATAGCCCTTTTGGCCACCTTTAGGATTACCCTTATCCTTTGGAGACTGGTCCTGTGTTCTCTGAAACTCTCTCAGTCATTATTTATTACCCACTTGTCATTGTGACTTATTCATTGCTTACATCACCATTCTCAAACGTATTGCTTTACAGAAATGGTGAACAGGGCGGTGAAGGAAGGATCAATAAATGCTTCGAAAGGAAGATTTACCCTGAGACTTAGAGCTGCTTTTTAATACTAAATCTGTGCTATTAGTTCTGAGATGGTTTAAATAACTTGACATCAAGTACCCTTTTTCTCAAAATGGAAAGATGCTATTGCGTTAACTTACTTTTGTGGAGCAAGAGGACTTCGGAAATTAAGTTTTATAGTATAAAACTTTCTAACTGTCAATACTTTGTGTATTTTCCTGAATGCTTATCTTGTGAGCTTGAAAATATACAGTTTCATCCCCTAAGAAAAAGTGATAAAACATTTATATAAGAAATGCTTGAAAATATTTCTTTGAGTTTTAGTGTTACTGTTTTTATAACTGCACAAAGAGAGGAGAGGGCTTATTTGAAATCATCAGTTGGGAAAAAAAAATTCTACTTCTCCCCATGTCTATTTTAATTGTTCTGAGAGCTTCATGACCCATGCTGTTTTGCTAAAGCATCCAGTTTCATATTATATGGTTACTCTTGACCATCTAGTAAAACCTAGTTGCTCCACAAATCTGATTGAGTATATATAATATTAAATTTATTGTTTAAGTTGCAGATAATTAGACTTCTGTATTTCATCAAAGCAATATATCATGTTAAAAATAGTAATGAAATACTTATATATATAGGAAATTCAAAAGCAAGAGCTTTCTTGCTTCCAGGCTCATTTTCAGTCAATAAACAAGCATGCTGATATGTGGCAAACACTGTTCAAATCCTTTTCCTGAGAAGTTTCCTTTCCTTTACTTCTAAAGTCTCTCAACATTTTTTCTCTGCTCCACTTAACATTCTGTGAGCTACATGATGTGCTAAGAGAATAACACAATTACAATCTGTTTGCAAAACACCTTAACTGAAGAAATGAATAAATTGTTTTTAAGTGATAAAGATTGCATAGGAAAGTTTCTTCTCATCCTGCTCTCTGTTCTCTCTTTCAGCTAAATTGCAGTTTTTTGATAATGTAGCAGTCATATTTTCTGGTTTTATACATATATTATGCCTTTTATTGCATTTTTTTAAAAGGATACCTAAAAATTTCTGTTGAAGAAGTGACACGTTCTTGCATAGCTGATAATTAGGTTTTAAGTTTTCTTGATTCCTTTTGGGTGGAAATTATTGTCATTTACAGTTTTCCACTCAAACTGAAAGCTCACAGAATCCATCCAGATTTAGTTTTCTCCTCAAGCTTTTTGTTTCTTCTTTGTACAGGAAATGTTCTGTCCACATTAAATTAGAATACAAGTTTTCACTTCCTTAGTTGAGTGATTGTATCTGTATGAGGCAAGGGTCATCTCTAATGCCTTACTTCTTATTCCAGTGAATTGTAGTACTCGTCCATCTCTTTGGTCACTGTGGTTATGTTTCAATGCTTGGTCTGTTTGACAGGATGTTGCACTGTTGTTTGTATGGATGTTCAAAACAGGTGAAGTGCATTCAACTTAGTATGTTAATTTTGTCTTGTTACAAGCTCTTGACTGAGGCCATACTTGCAAGTCTCACGTTATTGTGATACTTAGTTGAAATGAGGTTAGGATATTTGACCTCTTCCTCCCAAGTAAATAATTACAGTGGAATAATGTGATAGTATGCAGTGTAAACAGAAGGCATTGGTTTAAAACATTGAGACCATGAACAATTCTCATTTGAAAAAATGACATTTTTCAATAAAATAACAGTTCAGGTTGAAAGACTAATATAATATTTTGCTTCTGGTAAAATAGACAAAAGTATTTGTGGGAAGACCACACTTACTCTGAAATGGCTAAGTTAGCTCAGTTTGCCCATTGTGCAAATGTCTGCTCTGAGAACTGGAAAGGGTCTGCAACTTTCATGAATGGGAATGCCTCTGAACTTCTACCATTTCTAATGTCCTTGTCCCTATCTGGCTGTTTTGTTGTGGTTTTTTGGTTTTTTTTTTTTTTCTCTTTAAACTGTCTTTTTCTATTACTCAGTTTGTGTGGGTCTAGACTCAAAGACTGTGACTTGGCTGGTAGATTCTTTGATTAAGAAAATACTTCTGCTCTTATTAAATAGCTGTTTTCCTTTTCCTCTTGTCTTTTCACTCTAGTCCATACTCACTTATACCAAGGGGACAGGTCATGATAAGTACTATTTGCAATTTTAAACATCTCGTTCCTCTGAAACTTCTATTTCTGTATTAAGAAAAAGACAAATAATTGTAGCATCTCAATTAGAGAAGGTGCATATAATTGAGAACCCACAAGGTAAATTTCATGCGTGTAACTTTCAACAATAAAGCATTCTGCAGATGCTTTTTTTAGTTTAGGCTACATACAGTTTGGGAAATTCTGATTCAAGCAACATTGTCATCTTCATTTAAATAATCAGGTTTTTCTTAATCTTGGAGAATACCATAACAATCAGCCTACAGTTGAGGAATGAGGAGAAGGGATGATAAAGGAAGACAGACATTGTCTTATCTGTGATGCAGTTACATATTGATAATGCTCAAAAACTTAATATTTAGCTTATTCTGGTACACACTTTTACACATGTGGAATCTGAATTGTAAAGAAAATGCAGATAGCTTTAAGCAGAGAAGGTACCAAAGGGAGCCTTGATGCTCTATATAAGTGATTCTATCTTTCTTGATGTCCATTTCCTATTAAAACAACACATACAGTAATAATACCCCTCAAAATATTGTTGGGATTGTACTGTGGTATTGAACTAATGTTTTGTATTTTTTAAATGTCACTATTAAAAAAAGGAAAAAAGAGCTGACCAGAGGAACAATGGTTAAGTATAACTTCAAATTTTTTTGCATTCTCTTTATTTTTTCAATATTTACTTGTGACTAGGATGGGAATAGAAGAACTGTGAGCTCTGATAAATGTTGGAATTTTAAAAAGTCATACACACTTTGGAGGCTATCGGAATTTGGAAGAGGAGGGGTAAAAATTAGCATACATCTCTTCTTCCTTCTTGCTCAATAATGGCTTTACAACATCCATTCTTCTCTGCCTTTGGAATAGGTTCAAGATCAATTAAGTTGACAGTTTTCTCTTTTGGCAGGGTTCCTGATATTTCTTCTCAGTGTTTTCTGGTCTACACCTTTTCCTGATATTATTTTTCTGCATATTTTTCTCTATTCCTACTTTGAAATGCCTCTCCTTACATTCTCACTCCATTGTTAAATATTTGCCCACATTTAATCTTCTGTTATCACCTAAACAAGCTGTATTTTTTTCTTATTCTCTAAAACATTGTAAATCTGCCAGCCTGTCTCCCTTCTTCACCATGCCTTTGTGTTCAGGTTCCCTTTCTAGTACTCTTATGGTGACTATGGACACGTCTTCCTGGAGAAAAGAAAGCCTTACTTTCACCCAATTGGAAGAAATAAATACTCCTCTCTCCCATATTTAGACACACATTTACTTTCAGATTTTAAGGGGACTGCCACTCTAAGAGCAAGTTGATGCTACAGCTCCTTTGACAATCTGAGATGTCAGAACTTCAAAAGATTGAAATTACATTTCTGATTTATGCAAGCTAATAAAATAAAGCAAGATGGAGCAGATTTTAGGATAACATTAAGCATTTAAGGACTTCCATAATATTTTTTAATTAGGATTTGGTAGAAGGTGTTTTTTTCTTCTCTTATTTTTTAATTGTTGCTCCTTGACAGAAAAAATCCGGTGAAGTTTTACTTTGCTATGTATTTCTCTTTTGATTTTGCTATTTCTGTGTTGATATTTTTGGTTTCCTCCTCTGCCATGTCTTTGACACATTATCATCTGCCTTTCCTTTTTGTAAGTTCCAATCTCCTTCTAAAAATCCTTTTACATTTCTTCCTCAAGGAAGATCCTCAAGTTGCCCTTTCTTTCTGCTACACAAATTCTCTCTACCTTGTAGTAATATCCCCTAAAGTGTGGTCTTGTCAAGCCAGATCGGGGTAGTGTTGCTTCCATATATTGGCATTTCCTGAAGGCTTTCCACTTACAGCTTCACCTGGGTTTAGGGTAAGTTAGACTTTACTTGAATGTGATGTCTTAGTACCAGGTTAATACTTGTCTTGTGTCTGGTGTAAGTGGTATTGTATTTTGTTTCAAAAGCATCAAGCCTGTTAAAAATGGAAAAGTTGGATTAGATTTGCCTAGAATACTTGTGTGAGAATAGATCATCTCAAATGTCATTTTTAAATGTAAAACCTTAATGAGATTTTCAGGTTTTGGCCAAGCATTTTTGTAGAAAGTGTCATATTAATGCTTTGTTGTGAAACTGTTTTGCAGTTAACTGATTGAAGTGCAGAATCTCCACTATGTAGGAAAAAGATTTCCAAAGATTTTTGGTGAGAATGGAGAAAAATTAGATTCTGAAATTTCCTGTGAGACAAATGAAAGCAAAAAATTGAGATTTTTTTCTGTCTTCCTGAACTTGAACAGATTATTCTTGTGAGAAAATGGCTTTGGGTGTTTTGTGCTACTCTTGCTGAATCCTGTCCTCAGGCTGGGCATGGCAGAATCATGTTGTCAGCTTGGGACCAAACGGATAGGGAAAGTCTGTTCCTAAGTTCACAACATTTTGCCTGGGGAACTGTATTACAGGCTCTGGACCATACAAATGCAGACCCTGGTGGAGTCTGTTAAGTAAACTGACAGTAACCTGGCAAGAAATCTCCTGTCTTAACTGGGAACTGGCCAAAACCAACTGCTTCTTATAAAACACATAGGCTTTAATGCACTGACATTTCTAATGAAAAACTGTTTTGCTGGAAAATCTCAGGTGCATTTTAGCCTTGAAGTGCTACTGTGTTACTATCACCAAGTAATAATGATAATCACAGAATCATAAAATTATAATATCACTTTCTTCTGCCTATTAGCTTTATTTGTGTTCTTGCCCCTAATATGAAACAAACCAAGATTGCTTATAAGTGAAGTTACTGTATTTTCTCATCTTTGCATCCTGTATTTTACAGCAATATTTTAAGGTAGTGTTGATAGCTGAGGTAGCCTGCTGGAAGTGGAAGGCGAAGGTGCAGTGATGAATTGCACATTTTAGAATTCTACTTATATTTGTTAAGTGTTAACATTACAAGTCTTTTTCAAATTTCTTACTTATGAGAGTTTGTATTATTATTGTATAACCTGAGCACATCTCTGATTCCATAGTCGATTATAGTAGAGTATGCAATACTTATTATAATGGAGAGATGGGGGATTAGGTATAGACTGTGCACTGAGCTGAGAATGTGTCTACTAGTAATCAAAAGTAAAAGGAGATTCCTTCCTGTGTGCATCAAGACTGATAGAAGAGACAAAATTCTCTGTTTCCTGTTCGCACATAAGGAGCGGTGCCAGTGGCTCTCAGCGAGGCTGGGAAGTTAATCCCTGGCCATGCTTACCACTGTATTTAAAGCTTAGGTGCTCTTTTAGCAGGTATTACAGGGGATCTTTAATTTCCATGTCAGTTTGTAGGGGAGTTGGCTTTTTTAAGTATAACCACATAATGAAAACAGGAGACCAAGGTAAGTCCTTTCCAAGTGCATGAAAAACACCTGTGTTGAGGTACCCTCTTAAAAAGAACCTCACTAAATTTTAGACGCTTGGAGACATGATTTTTTCTCCCTGGTAATCTGTAGTTTCTGTAAATATGCCTAAATTTGTAGGAAAAACAAGTCTATTTCTGATTTTATCTTTAGTAAACTGCTCAGAATAGGAAGTCTTTATGGCGAAAATTTGATGCCTTAAAATACTGCATTTTAATAGACAGATAATGCCATTAAGTATGATATGGAGGAGAATGGTATCTAGTGTTTGAAACTGCTTTACAGACTGATTTTCAGGTATTGGACTCAAATGTGGAAATTGCCAAGTGATGTTTTGTGTCCTGTATCATTCCAGTTGATTAGATTGCAGAATGGTCCCTTTTCTGACCAGAAATATCTAAAAATTGCCATTCAAAAAGCAGTAAACAATGTCAGAGTTTGACAGAGTGCTTTTGTTGAGTAAACGCCTTTTCCATAATTGCAAGAAATTTTAAAGTCAATTTTATACTGTATTGTAAATTATATTTATTAGAAATAAAATTACATACTGTTGAAAGCTATTGAAAATGCAGGGCAAACTATGAAAAAAGGCAGGAATATCCCTGCCTCTACATTGTTGAAACTTGGTTTACTTGAAGTACTCAAGTACTTTTTTCTTCCATTTCTATGCAAAAGGAGAGAAGACTGCATCAGAGATTAAAGGAAAAAAAAAAAAAAACAACAAAGGAAAAGGAAACAGCAGACATATCAGTTAGTGGTAAACAGCAGTCATATCAGTTAGTGGTTGCCTATGTTGAAATTTATATAGATTTCTCTTCAAGTAGAATTCAGACTGTATTTCAAGTCTCAGCAAAAGTTGCAAAGTATTTCTTAGCTGTCATTGTTCCAGACATGTACACTTCATGAAGGCAGGTCATTAGGAGTTCGAACATTTGCTTTGAAATAGATATTCTGGGTAAGCTTAAAAGTGAACATAATTTTAAAACAGTAGGCCCTTCACTTTTAATTTGCTTTACTTTGCTGCAGTCTTTTACAGTGGATTAATATCTGGTTCTATTTTTTTTTTCAAAATGCATATAGTGATTATATGTCACTATATATAATTATATATAAATCTAACTATGTCTAATTTTACAAATTGTCTTTTGTGGTTTGTTTCTTCATGCATTGGGCATAATTGCAGTATGTGCTGTCTTCAATGAATTTTCCTAAGCACCCATTTAATCTTTCTAATAGGGCACTTGCAAAGTCTCTTAGGCAGAAGGGTTAGAAGTGTCTATGGCTAAGAATCCTCTTTCAGTGGAAAATGGATTTTTATTGTTACTGTTTTACCTGCCATGGTTCTACTTCTAGTGTGATCGCCCGTGATACTGCATACAAAATCAGCTCAAATTTCTCTTTTTGAAACCTCTACAAGGCATTTCATTAAGTGAGGTTCCTTTGATAGGAGGGGCTGAGGTGGTAGTAATAGTGCATCTCCAAACCCTTATCACTGGTTACCAGTGTTTCTGAGCTGTTCTTTGCCATTGAAAATAATGGAAGTTCTTGGTTAGGAAATGGTGAATAAGTTTGACCAAGTTTGAATGTAGCTGGTTTCAAATTTGTCTGAGAAGGTTAACATAATTTAGCCTTGTATTTCTAGCATTAAATACTACAAAATATCAAGACATTTAATAAAAATTAACTCTCTTTTCCTTTCTTATAAAAATCCAAGTGATGTTGAATTGAGCTTGATTAACCAAAGAGTAAATGAAGGCCAAGTGTAAGAAAATGTTAGCTCTAAATATTTTGAAAAAATCATGATAAAATCATTACTAATACAGTTAGATAAATTAAGTACTGTGCCATTGGTACTGTGGTTTATGTAGCAATCTGCAGGGAAAGAATGGAGAGAAGAGTGGTTGTGTTGTTTACATTCTGCTTTTTGTTTGTACCTGATAAAGAACAGCAAATACTAGCTGTAATGATGAAATCTTCTGTATTGTAAAAACAAATAATTTGCATAGCACTGATTTCACAACAATTTTTCAAGATTGACATACTACTGGTTATTTAGTTTGATTAGGATTTATTTTTCATGCATAGAGTTCTCCATCAGACAGACAGATCTAGTAGTCTTTGCAATTGGAGATGCCTTCCAAAATTTATCCCATAATTCAGATGCAGCATGGATAGCAGTGATTACTTAGCACATTCAAATAATTTTTTTAATGTTATGGTAATACTGTTATTTTCAATAAACCATCCAATACCCAAGTCATTTGAACACTATTCCTGCTGTTTTATTGTATTGTGATATAAACATAAATGCAGTGTTAAAAGCTATACCAATGGTGTCAGACTCCTTAAGGACTTGAGAAAACTGTCATAACTTCTAAAATAACTGATAATCGTTTGTGGGTCAAAAAGAGCAACATGCTGTATTGCTTAGCTTTCTGCTTTCTTTTTCTCAAGGTTTGTCTGAGATTTAATTTTATGTGAAGTACACAAAACACTGTCAGTGAAACATTATCACTTTGTAAAAGCTGTTTAGAATATAGTCTGGCACAAAATGTGCAGAAAATTATAAAAGAATACTCACAACTTCGTGCATAGAGCTGAGTTGTATATATTATTTGAAATTGTGACCAAAACGAGAATATGTGATGTGACTGCATCTTGATATCTGCAAGATAAGCCTAGAGCTAGAAACTTAGCTTTTTAAATTTAAAATTATATGCATAAATATATATGTATAGAATTAAATAAATATGTGTAAGTAAAATTTCATCTATGTAGCTTCCTGTGTTTACATATATATATATATATATGTAGCTCTTTACAGTTCTGATGGGTTTATTTTGTCCTATCCATTGCATGGTATTTCCATTTAAATGCATATTTTGATTTTTCTTCTGGGACTAGGTGGAATGCCTTTCCATTACACTACTAAAAGAGTGATCTACTTGAACATTATATTTTTCCCTAAAGGGATGGCCTGTTTTAGTCATATGATATTATTTTTCACAGAGTGACATTAGCATTCATGATGTTGTGATTTTTCTTGATTCAAAATGTTTTGTTCTGGTACTAAAAATATTAAGGACTTTCTCATGTATCCTGCTGCTATAAAAATACCTCAAAATCAAGGAAATTGAGAACAACTCAAGGCCATCAGCATGTTCTTTGTTAATAATGAAGTATTAGTGAAATTCGAAGTACAAAATTTAGAGGTCATAAACATGTGCGACACCTTTGTAGTGGAGGAAAGGAAAAATTGGAATTTTAAAAATGCTTTACATTTGACTTTATAAACACTGCTCTATACAAGTGTATCTTTCAAAAGAATGTTCTTAGAAACAGGTGCCTTAGTGTAGTGGCATTAATAACTAGTTTTTAATGATAGGCAGAAATGGGTGGTAGTTGTGAATTTCACATCAGAATTTTTTCTTAACAAATGGTCTGTTTATTTTACATATTTCTAACACTTGC